AGCCTCCTCCCCACACCACGGCTACGCGGTGCTGCAGGAGGAACGAGACGCAGGGAAGGCTTTGGATTATGATTTCTGGGAGGTGTTTTCAGTTTAAATAAGGGTCACTGCCACGAACGAGGAAGAAGGACTGTCTGAGGCATCTCTCCGTCCCCGAGAGCAGCCAGCTCTCAGAATTACAGGCAACAGCCATTTAACGAGGGCCAATTTGCTCAGCTTATCTCGCAGCGAAGGAAACCGTTTGATAAAAAAAGCATTAGTCATGATATAAAAATCGTTGCTCTTCATAACTAGGCAAATAAGCTGTCCTAATAGCTTTAAATATGCAGCATCTCAGCTCGGGGCCCAAATATCAGCAGTTAGTCACTCATTAATGGCTACCTGCAAGACCTACGCTCCGAATCACCCTGGTGACCGTGCTGGCAGATGATCTCCCCAGGGCTTGGGGTTTTTTTTTTTTTTTATTTGTACAGAGTACCTCTCCAGAGGAGAGCAGGGACAAGAGCAGGAGGCCGGGGTCCAAGCTGGGTGTGCGGGACACCGTCGGCATCGCTGGAATGCTGGCCGAGAGACTCTTTTTTTTCCTAGGTGGGGAGGGGCAGGGGGTCTCTTCAGGCTCTCGACAGCGGGCAGGGTGAGGGAGGTGCTGGTCGAGACAATCTGCTAAGTGCAGAGACCCAGGAGATAAGCAGGGCAGAGATAAGAGCCGCTAAGTGAGCGCAGGATCCAGGGCTGATAAATAAAGGCCAGACACGGGCCGGGCTGCACGCAGGAGCGCTGGGGTCTATCTGTTCATCTCGCCTCTCTGCTCAGGTTGTTCCACGGGAGGACATGTAGTACCTGAAACCAGTCAGGACCAGTTCAGGAAAAATAAAAATCAAACCACAGCCCAGAGAATAACTTGGACCTGATGGGGCTGAGGGAAATCAACTGGATTTCCCGGGTCGTTGCAAGAGCTGACACACCGAGCCTACGCAGATGCGACAGCCGCTTCGGAGAGGACCAAAACCCTCGTGTTCCCCTTCGCTACTCCCCTGGGTGCTGGAGCAGCACCTCCAGCTTTCAGAGGCTGAGATCAGAGGCAGGATGTTGGGACCGAAGCTCAAAGCTCCTTTTGTCTCTGCTCAACGGCCGGGTGGGCGAGAGGAGGGTCTGCCCATCCCACCCTGAGGCTCTGGGAACGAGACGCTGCGCAAAGACGGCGGCCCGCTGGCGCAC